CGAAGTCTAGGCCACGAGTGACATCGTGGATGAAGCGTTGGAAGGTTTGTGCGGCGTAGCACAGTCCAAATGGCCTTCTTAAAAATTCAAAAAAGCCGAAAGGAGTGATAACGACTGATTTAGGAATGTCACTTTTTTCCGCAGGTATCTGGTGATAGGCGCGAACCAGATCGATCTTGCTGAAGATAGTCTTACCTGTGAGACATGCGGCAAGGTCCTGCATGTGTGGGATGGGATACCTATCTGGGACGGTTAACTGATTGAGTGCGCCTTAATCACCGCTAGGGGGCAGTCACCAGAATTTTTGGGGAACATCCGCAGGGGAGAGGACCAATGGCTGTCGGAAGGGCGGATTATTCCAAGTTCAAGCATGTGCTCAAACTACGCCCTAGCTACATTTAGTTGCTCGGGCGATAGTCGGCGTGGACGGCATGAGACGGGTAGTCCATTCGTCCGGAAGTGGTGCGTTACTTGGGATGCCACGGGCAAAGCTTCATTCATTGGCTGAAGGAGCTTGGAATACTGGGAAAAAAGTTGGCGTAGTCTGACGAAGTCTGAGGAACTGCGTGGACTGGTGTTATAGCTGCGATTTGGCGGTGATGCCACGTACAGTGAGTTTCGTTGCAGTGTCGACTATCATCTGACGTTTCGCATCGACCAAGATGTCGAAATGCCTGAGAAAGTCAATGCTGATGATGGTAAAGGGGACTGCAGCGGTGGTTAATACCCAGCAGAACTTGCGCCCAAGACCTAAGTCCAAGGTAGGCGACCGATGACTGTAGAAGTCTGTTGGCATGCCATTGGCGGCACTTAGACTTGTCGACAAAGAAGCGATAGGCTCACCTGGTATAGGGCGAATAAGGCTCACTTGCGCCCCAGTATCAACTAAGAACTGGATCTCTAAATCATAATCCCTATTGTAGATAAGACGACTATGGGCTTTACCGACTTGCTTCGTGGCCATAACAGTTCGGCGTGGGGATCATCTTTAGCGGAGTAGCTACGTTGCTGTACGCCGTATTACTGATACGCGAGTGGTAAAAGCAGTAACCTGGGGCACCAGGTTTTGTGCGACGGAGTTGCGGTGCTTACGGTTTAAATGAGTTCCTCGATCTGGCGCTGAATCGACGCTATCTGCTATGATAATACGCCTATTGCCGGCGGCTGGCTAGTCGCTGGTGTCTGTGTGGTTGCGCCAGCACACAGGTGCTTAGGTGCTTTGGTTTTAGTCACTGGCTGGTGGCGTTCGATGACGCGGTCTGCTAGATCTGAAATTGCTATGAGTGGCAGGTCACTTGCTACTGCAAGGATGATCTGAGTGCTTTCAGGAAGGCGTTGCATCCACAGCTCGCGGAGAATCCCTACGCCCATATTGGACGTGTCGATGAGCTGTTGCATTTCGAGTAAAAAGGCTGAGCGCATCGTATCTCCTAGTTGCAGATCACTAAATAGTTGCCGCAGTCGGACTTTGTCAGAAGGCGTGATTCGCTGAATAATAGCCTATTGAAGAGTCTCGTATTTCATTACAAGGGGGTGGCGAAATAGGATGTCTCTCTTCTACCAGGATATACTCTGAGTAAGGCGAGATATTCGCAGATTATACATGGGGAAGTCAGAAGTAGTCCTACGAATGTAAAATACGGATTCTAGGTGCAAAACCAAAACGAAGGATCATTCTCCCAAAAAAGTGGAGGGGCTAACGCAATAGAATTGACCATGACAGGCTCAACGGCGCTAACCGCGTTTAGAGATGCCTCATCCTCTAGACAACCCATTGCAAAAAAGCGAATAAAAAGCGAGGTAGGTGAGGAAACAATATAATCACAAGTAATGAATCAGAAACTCACTGGAACGAGATCACCAGAATGAAAATTCAAAATGGTGGACAGCGTGTTCTTGACCGGGGTCACCAATTGTTGGGTGGAGCCTGGGATACTAGTCAGTAAACAATGATACGTAAGAGACGTGTCAAACACGGGACAGTATAGAACTTGGAGGCGACTGAACCCAACGTATATTGTGCAGGCTACAAAAATGGGGTGCGACTCAACCAGAGCGAGAAACGGTGCAGCAAGCTACTCACCAAAATGATTTGTGTCAACGGATGTGCCGTCAGTAAAACAAGTGGATGCTTTAAAGATTAAAACAACCGTACAATCCAATGTTTGCAAAATACTGAAAGAACGTGTTTTCCGGTACACTGCAAGTACATTTTAGTTTTGATGGCCGATGTCAGCAGTGCATGCAGCGTACAAGCCGTTGGTAAAGGCATGGCGCTCAAAAGGTTACCCAAATCAGGCCTACATTTTGTTTAGAACAAAGCGGTCACGAACCTTACAAAGATGGTAAGAGTCTGTTCGATTGATTTATTTTCGTGTGTGCATTTCGCTTTAACCGCCTCCACTTTACATATTGTACTAGCCTCGATATACCTCGACGGGGTTCGTGATTGTTGTACGCTGTCAGGTTTTAGAGCACTTTCAAGGTGTTTCGACTGCGACATGAATTTTCTATTACACATCGGATATTCTTACCACTGCAGCTGAGCCTTACCTCATTCCAGGTACGTTCCAGTTTATCGGGGAAATCTGAAACATGAATAGCCGAGGTTATCAAACGTCTCACATAGACGTTGTTGCACTATTTGTCAATATGCCTTGGAGATAGACAGTGAACTTCCTACGCGTTTACATTATAAAGTAGGTGAATATTGACATACCGACAAACTACTTGAAACATCTGTTGCTCAGACGTACCTTTGATGTTCAATTTCGAGTCCACAAAGAAGAGTACAGATAAGTCGACGGTATGGAAATGGGATCACCTCTTGGTTCACTATTGGCAGATATCTATGGAACAATGGAACATTGGTATAATACGGATAAGAAGCCAAGGCTTGACAAGTCCCGTGGAATAGTTTGTGGGAACAAATTTAGTTCAATGAAGTTACACAGAAGAGCAAAGCACATAGATGGACTCATTAAATTATCCACCTTACCACATGGGCATATCCGTCTACCCGATTTCGTAGGGTTTGTAAGCACAATGTTTATCTGCGTCTTGTCGTCACTCAATGAATAGAAATCAGACCAAATAATGTGAATGGTGTAAAGCATCATCGAGTCGTTTTTGGAAAATCGGTAGCGTTGGCGCGGAAATGCTTATAGTCGAAAGAGCGTTCCACGGTTGACAAACTCGGAGGAAAAACGAATTCCTGCGGAACTGTATTGGATGGCAAGTTTCACCCTATGACCACTGAATTCTGTGGTGCAGCTAAGCTTCAGGAGGTAGCGGCAAGCGTGACCGGGGTTTTCCAAAATTTGGAACGCCAGAATGAGGTCACCCCGTAGATGGCGTCGTAATGATTGATGATGGTCCACTAAGACCGATCAGCTCTGGTCTTAAATTCTACCGGGGTAACTTGATGAAGTTTTCTGCATTAGTGACCAAACAGTTAACTCTCAGCACATAATGCACTGTTTCAACAAGCCACACCGATATGCCACCGTTACCGTTAAAAAAACTAACTAGCAAATGTATATCTTGGATATAAGTCTGGACAGACGGAGTAATGAATCAATCCAAATTAATTTGTACAGGAAACTTTATTAGACAGAACTATACATCAAATCTTATAGGTTCGCCCCACTCAACCGCAAGACAACATCGGTGCTCAACTTTCCTGACCATGCATAATAATTCTGCACTGAAGACACTTTGGAACTCAGGTGAATCAATGAATCACTTCTTGAGAACGGATATCTAGGGCGCTTCAATGACACCCATATTAAGCGAAACAGTTGGAAAAAATGCACACACCAACGGTATGGAAAAAATAGCTGTTTCTGATTATTCCTTTCATAGAGAACAACAGACATATAGACTAATGCAAAGCTGCAAGTGGACCTTTAACGTGACCCACCTGAACGTGACAAATACCAGCAGACGTCTAGTTGTTCCTAGATTTAACAACAGATTCCTGATCCTCTCCAATCAGTGGTAATCCTTCGGTTTACTCGTCCCTGTGGGTCAGTGTATGCTGGTTGTACGACCAGGTACTTGAGTAAAAGAATCAAGTAGTGACACCCGAAGTAGTTCAATAGCCATAAAGCTGTGACAAATGACAGCACAATGAGTAACCACCTTCTAAACACACAAACGGATTTCCAGATTCTCTATAAAATACCAACAGCGCACAACTATGGAATAAGAGCGAGGTTGCTTGCTACTGTAGAGGCTGTATGCATAGTGCTAACAGGACCCGACCGATGCGTATAAGAGCAAATGTTAAATTTGTTACAATTACAATGGCCAGCTAACAGATGGGAAGAATTCGAACAAATGCAGCAAATTCACATGACATGGAGCAGATGATCAGCTGCTTAAAGCTGTAATTTCACTTTAATTATTCTAATCAGTTGTTTACGCTTTTGCACTAATGAATGAAATCCAACATTCCAGTATAGGTTTAACGAAAAAGTAATCGAAAACAGCTGTTCGCTTTTAGCATACCATTGTTGTCTTTCTTTATGGCTTCGACGATTTATGGACATCTTACATGACTAGTTTGTGAGTTACTGGCGCCACATATTGCACTCCAACAGCGGTCTCATCTCTCATTGTACTCGTGAGATAGGGTAAGCTGGTACTGGAAGTGGGACTCGTAGCATAGTATTTGACGGTTGTCATCATCAGTGAGCCATTGAGGTTGGCGATAGGTCGCGTCCAAGGAAGTATTTACGCCAAAATGCAGTATGCCTGATACACGTGAACAAGGATTGTTGTCATGTTTACTAGAGTTTTGGCTTTAAGGTTAACTGAATGAAAAGCGGGTTCAGCCAGATCAATATGGTCTGGGACAAGGGCAGGTAAATCGATCGGTAAATGCGTTTAGACGACGTATTAACCAGTTAACTTTCGCATGAGTTCACCAGAAGTTTTCTTTGGCGCATAACTCGTGCAATAGCCAGTTTTGCTAGCGTGTATTGCTCTTTTTACAGCTCGACGATGGAGGAAAAGATGGATTTCTCCGGAGCTTCACAAAGGCAACCTTGGTCTGCCCTAGTCAGCAGAGAGACGAATCCGGGGCGACGACATTCGTACACAGTGATCCGCAATCTGTTCACGTGGATCAAAGTACAAAAATGCTTTACGTCTTGTTTACAACCCCCAGGTTCGCGATATTTTCAGATATCCATACCAGTTTCTTTCCATATGTTTCTCAAAGGTCAAAATCTTTTGACTGTTTAAGCACTAGTACCATGCTCTCATCAGCGCCTCTAAACTAATAATGATTTCTGTATACACGAAGTTGTAACCGAGGGACAACAACGAGATGTAAGAACTCGGTGGTCACTAAGACCAAAGATTGAAAGTACGTTAAAATAATCAACGGCATTAGCTTGAATATCACAGCAGACCGACTGAGGATGCTAGACCCTTGTATTTAGTATTGCCTTACCGACCCCACACTAACAATAAAAACCGCATGTGTCAGAAGGCACTTTCGAGAAACGCACAGTCAAAATATGGGCCCCTTGTAATGATCAGTTACACTGCCGCTGGAAGTTGAAGGAATAGTTAGTCCGACTTACTGCAACTTTCTCGGTCAGTCACAAAGTGATGTTACAAGTCCTGTATACAGACTGGATTTACTGTGGCGTTATATGGTCAGAAGGCAAGCGCCTACGACTTATCTGAATGCGGAGCACTGACTGACTACAAGCTGAAGCCATTTCGTCATGAGTTACGCAGACATTAATCCAAGTCCATCCACTCACTTATCTGTGAAAGTATTATTTAGAATTCAAGACCCTATCAACCCCGCTTATGCGACTGATTTCGCAAGCACAAAATGGCTTGTGACTGCAGTGTTACTTGGCACCGATTGGTTCACCCCCTTTATCGGCGACCACTGTCTTTTTGTAACCTGTTTATTGTTACATCCTCCGCGGTGCACAAAGTTCCCCGTAAAGGAGAGAAGGTTTGGTTGTCCTCAGTGTGGTAGCTTTGTTGTTAAAAGAAAGCTCAATGTAGACCGTATTCAGTTGTGTGTTCTACATCATTTCATTCGATAACATCACCTGACTTCGTTTCAATGAAAACCGCCTCAGTCACTGATGATTATCGTAGGTGTGAACAATGTTTGGACCTACACGTGGATCTGCTCAATAGACCTTCTGTTCGTGTGGTTCAAGTGTTTACTGCGTCACGTTGGTACGATCTAGCTGTAAGTGATGAGGTCTTCCCGTTATGAAAGACAGTTCTTTGTCATGAGTCCGAAGTATCTCTCAACGCTGATGTACGCGCTTTTTCGCTGATCTACCAAGCACTGTACTTGTATTCTTGAGGAATTGAATACAACGACGTCAACTTCCTGCCGTACATACTGCGGGAAGTGTAACATCATTCTAGTTATTTTTCGATGGCATAAGTATAGACAATTCTGTGCTCAGATGATCTCCCTTATCGGCTCCCTCGACTTGACGATATCACGTATGTTTCAGTCGGAATCTGACATCTGTCGTACATCAAATGATGGCTGTCAAAACAAGCCTGCCACTAGCCATGAACCGAAGTTTCCAACTCGGTTCACTGACAAATATTACTGATTAGATGAAGAAAAGTTATAATCGTGATTGATGACTGCATATTTAATGGTCACATTCCATCGTCAGTTAGACAGTCTTCCTCGAGAAAAATCAAGAGGTTCAAAGGAGTCCAAAGACCGTGTAGTTTAAACCGCCACCTTTGTGGTGAGAGGACTTGTAATAAGCAGCATATATATACTGGGGTAAGGCATCGTCGTGCAAACGAAGCTAAATGGTACTATCTGTTAACTAGTAAGCACCCAGCACAGCTCTGGCACTACTGCGCTGCCCATACATGGAAGCAGTGACGCACATGCAATAACTTTGGATGGTGATTAAGATGAACGGTTGCATCTGCTAGTCTGTCCAAGCATTGTCCTGCTAATTAAGTGTCAGTGATTTCACTGAAGTGCTTCGATCCGGGCTAGCGCGCGAGCTTGGTAACCTACGGGAGACACAGGTTGGAACAATGCAGCGAGCTTAAATACACCAGTGACAGCGAGCCACCGGAATGTTTTTGCTTCGGGCAGTACCAGCGTTTCACACACCTGTAAATCCATGGATACGAGCTTGTTGTCTTCTTATCGGACCCATCTCTACAAGTACTCCCCAACTCTGTAAATCAGTGCCAGGCTGCGTATCCGTGCTCCATCCCAACCGGATGGTTGAACGCTGCTTATTGGCTGTCCATAAGTGCTCGCGCTAATGTCCGTTTGTCGCACATCTGCTTGTTGGTGGTTCGACCTAAGCCGCGTGATCAGTAACGTGCAGCGGTGAGTTAACCCATCGCAGGCTGCGTAATTACTACTTTACGCGTTCTTTTACCCTGCGCTAGTCCGGATACAGGCCCATTCAGCTTTCTCAGTGACAGTATTGCTGTCACACATACTAGACTGTGAATCGCGATCACAAAATCTAAATGTGTTTCGTTTGCAATGCTGGCAGCCATTTTCAGTGAAAGACACGACAACGCGTGGATTCTGTTGATGAGCACCATCATAAAATAGAGAGTACTAACGGAGCATACTTTTGGATGTCCACATACATAAACGGCTTTAATGCGCTCCCCAGTAAGCTTTTTGGACAAACCGCACATGCCGTTGCTTAGCAAGTCCCATAAGATAGTTAAGTGAAAAATGACGAAAGCAAGAGATATATGCCCATCGCCCTAAATACGTTATTGCATGACGATGATGAGAGATGGGAACTGGGTATTGGCAAACTAAAAGTTTGAGGAACAGATTTAGTTTTGTTAGCAAGCAATCACAAAGCGATCGGTGATGTCGGTCCTCTTTACATATCAGTGAGTTCTGTTGTTAAATGTTGGGCGAAGTTGGGTCAACGGTTTGCCGCCAGGGAATTAGATATTTCTTAGCAGCTCCCGTAGGACAATTGTGTTGCGGATTTTCAAATCCAAAATTAACGTGAGAAAGGTAACTATTTGTGGACTCATCTTGCCTTCACATGCAGATGGATGTAAACAAGGATACCTTCCTTTTCCATGGAAAACATTTATGCACTCTACCGGTTTCCGCTCAGTCGCTTCCAACTGAATACCAGTTGTAGTGAGAGAAATGAAGGGACAAAAGTTATGACAACTGGATCGTCCAATGTAGATAAAATGAAAGCACTAACCTGTGACCAGTCAGAACAGTGCAGGAGTAGACACGCGAATGGAAAAATAGTCCCAGCTGAATTTCAGCCCGTTAAACCGTTTGGCGTATTTCGGCTGATGGTCCACCAGGTCAAGGTCCTAAAGACCAAGTAATGCGTAGCCCCATCATCATCATCATCACCATCATCATCATCATCATCATCATCATCATCATCATCATCCACAGCAGTACATTAGCCATTTGAACTGATGCTTCGCTGCCATACAACCATGAGGACCTATGAAATAAATAATAAGAAGAGGGAGAGAAAGGGGGACTTACCTGAAAACCTTAATGCCCTAAGCAAACATTCTGGGTCAAGGCGCCTACACCTAGTGTAGACAACATACCGTCACAAACAGCTGGCTATCGTGCAAAGATAAGGCGGCATCGGCGAGACAGCTTCCTTGCGGCTTTCACTGCCACGCGTCATAATCAGCCATTACCTCGCAGATAACTCACCACCAAACATACTTTAAACAGGCAATCCGATTAGAAGACGGCAGCAGACGCGCCACCGGTGTCGGTTGCGAACCATGTCCTGCAAAGTCTCGAGCCAAGCACAAGGTGAGTCACATGGACTCCAACCCGAAAGGCGAGACGGACCAACGGCACCCAGTTTGGTTGTCAGTGACTTCATTTCCCGTTACCAAATCAACTTTTGTCCACCTCGAGCCTTGCGCCATCCTACACCAGGGAGACTGAACAAGACCCTAATAGGTAAGCGGTGACCAGGCAAACGTAGCACGTGCCCGAGCCAACGCAACTTATTCAGTGCTATCTGTTGTTCTAGGGAGCTAGCAGGATTATCACTACCTAGTACTCGCCTACGCACACCATCGTTGGGGATACGCTGGTGCCATCGGACACCAGCAATGCTTCGCAAACAACGATGATCAAAGACTTGAACGCGCCTCAGATCTTCAGACCGAAGGGGCCGTCTCACTTCCATAGAGCAGAACGACCCTCACTGTGGCCTTGTATACATGACCTTTCAGACCAAGGGGAACTCCCTTCTGTCGTCAAAGATGACGCAGGTTCCAGAAAGCAGCTCTGGCTTTTGCAATGCGTGAGCTCACGTCAGTTTCTATGCGCCCATCATTGCTGATGCAGCTGCCAAGATAAGTGAAATGATCAACCACTTCCAGTTCCTCGTTAGCAAGCGTCAAGGGGTCATCAAGTGGCTGGTGGTTCTACGGCAACACTTTGAAGGTGCGAAGTGCATACCAAATAATGGGACCACTCTGGACAGGCTATTCAGGGTTGATTGTGCCACCGCAACATAGTCGAAAAGCAAGACGATATCATCCGCATAGTCAGTTAACCTTTCACCAGGCAGCACTTCAACGCCTACATCGTTGGATTCCGCGAGGGAACATACCACGATAGGATCCATGACGAAATTGAACAAAAACGGGGAAATCGGACAACCCTGACGAAGGCCACTTGTAGTCGAAAAGCTATCCGGTAGGACACCATAGACCCCGACGCGGCCAGTAGTGTTCGAGTATAGAGCACGAAGGATGTTCACATGTTTTGTGGGAACACCCTTCCGCGCAAGTATTTCGAACAGAATCGATCGATCGACTGAATCGAACGCACTCTTGAAATCGAGGAACACGGCTATCGTCGGTCTGTGGTATGAGGGGCCCTGCTCTAGCACCTGCCGCAAAGTGAATATATTGTCTATACAGCCACGTCCTGGGCGGAAACCTGCCCGCTCTTCCCTAATCCGAGATTCCCGTTCCACAGTGAGGCGACGACCGATAACCGAGGCCAATAATTTTGTCACAACTGGCGTTAGGCTAACACCCATGCGGTTCGCACAGTCTGTGCGACTGCCCTTCTTGTATATTGATACTATAATCGATTTACTCCAATTAGCCGGCACACTCTCTTCGTTCCAAATACGTTCGAATGGGGAGGTC